CTAAACGGAACTGATTTCTTAGCTTTATTATTTAGACAATTACAATAACGACACGTGACATTTTTAATGAATGGGGAGATGGTAAGTAGAATTCCTGGTTGGTGTACGTGTACCATATACTACCTAAAGTTCAAAATTGAATTTTCCTAAAATCAATTTCTATTTGAATAAAAACCCCCTTATTAATAAAAACTTAGTCTTATTGCACTCTTTTAACTTAGTATTCTTTCATCTCTCTTAGTCAAATTACAATTACGCTCTGATGAAAAGAGATACAAGTTCGTTTCAACGGTCATCAGGGATGATTTATGATTTCAAAATGCATCATAATATTTCAATCCCGCCTCTTATCAAATCATTATCTTGATGTTGAAAACTCGTCGATAAAGATTTGCTATCATCTCACGTATCCACGGATGTCATTTTATATGCGGCCTAACGTCACACACCAGGCGCCACTTTCATCTCCAGGATAAATATATTTTTCGTGTGTGGATTACAGATATGTCTGAGTATATGTTAAGGCGATTCATGTCGTTTTGAAACATCTGAAATAACGAAATTGCATATAGGCATTAATAATCAAGTTTCTCATTAATGAATGAGATTCGTGTGAGGTAAAAATTGTCTTTTACAAGGATTCTTGGCACACTCTTACAAGATTTGTTGCAAAACTATTCAATATTACTGTCAAATCTGTAGCCATACCTAGGGGCTGCTGCATTAGGTACGATGACGTCCATACCCTAAATCGCACTAAAAAGTGAATCCGACCGCGATCCATCCAGCGATTCTCCCTTTAGGTAGGAAAACCACATTTAGTATTGTAAAAATTGCAATTGGTGTTTAATGACTGATACTCACAAAAATTATAAATACGAGGCGTAACATCAATTGCCCTCGTGAATGTGTAGATAATGTACTAAATATCGAATAGCACTAACCGAGACGAAGTCTATCTTCACATTTGTATGTAAAAACCTAATGAATTACGTGCACTTAGAAAATAATTTTAGTATGAAACAGTCTAGTTCATGTGACCTTTTATTGATTACTATCTTTAAATCTCATAAACCATTAGTTAAATAATGAAAATTATGTAAATAAATAGATTATTATAACAAAGTATAATTTTGCGGAAAATTCCGCATGTTAAACAATGTTTGTTTACAAATATTATAGTGACATTTACTTATTTGCGAACGATCTATTTTCGTTTAAACATGTTTACATAAGATAAAAAGTATATTTAGTTATTAGATAATGTATAGTTTATACATAGGAGGTGCATCTACAGGGTGTTAATAATTACATAAACATTTATCTTTATATATTTTAAAATAAAAACAGTATCTCTGTACCCTTAATTAAAACTGGAGGTAACACTTTCTTAAACGCTACTTAAGATAGGGTTCATGTAATCAATCCAATTCATTAAAGTTAATACAATAAACGTCTAATCAATAGATTAAAGTATAGAGATATCAGAAGTGCCTCACGGATTTTGGTTGCAATCAAATTAATTATACTAATTTTATTTAAGATATTAACTATTTCATAACATGACCCCGATAGTTAAGCGATAACATTTATAATTGCTTTTATATAAATACAATAGCGATATGCAGATGGTCCTAGGTATTGCAGTACAAATACGGAAATACACTATTTTCAGGGTCTTGGATTAATTGATATTATATAAGATACGCCAGTTAGATGTATGCACTTTGCGTATTACGGAAACATGTTTAATAAATAATATATGAACCTTAAGTGTCTATTTAATATAAACAATGCAGAAATTAAGATACGTATATTGCAAGTACATAGATTACTATTTTAAGATAAATAACAAGCAACCAAAACGACAGTAGTGGGAGTTATTTCCCAAGTTTATAAGATTTTTGAATGAAGTCATCAAGTTAAAAGGAGTATTAAGAATATCCATAGCGCAAATTCACCTGCATCATGAGGCATACCCCACATACATACACACCTTCACGTACCTACTTACCCTCAATTTTACACCATCACACAACACAGCCTAATTAGGTATATATTAGTTAACTGTATTGAATATCTTGTAATAATAAATTAAATGTTTCCTTTTGTAAATTTTTGAACCCTTTTGTAGTTAAATATTATGTATTCCATCTCTGGCTATATTTTTTGTGTAATTGTTTGATATTAGACACATATAATTTTTGTTAGCTGTAGGATTGCGAAATTAATAATAAGAATATGTCCCAATCTTCATGCCTTATTGCGATTTCTTGTGTCTATTTCATAGATATTTAAGATCAGATTACTATGTAATCCAAGCCGAAATAATCGCCCGACCTAGAGCTCCAGGTTAAATGCCCAATAACCTACGGAGGCGGAAGAACAATTTAATATACATACGTAAGAGAGAATTTGGCTATATATAACAACATAATAAGGCAAACTGAATTTAATCATATTCCGTTTGATTGGTGTCATTTATTACAGTCACTATAGAGCATGAAAATATCGCAAGTCCCGAAGGGAAAAAGATTAGGATGACCCGATTCATAGGAATCGAAAAATAGTAAATTTCCTCAATGCTCCTCGTGTTGGACCAATGCCAGTAACAAGTGCTTCAACGTAAAATACCTATGCTGCAAAATGTGACTCATGTAGAATGACCACGGTTTCGGAACAGTACATGTACAATACAGAACATGTTACAATGTATATTAGATGCTCTGTATATATAACGTGATTAGATAGTTCTAATACCTTTTAAACTTTGTATATTCCATTTTATCATGAATGAAGCGTTCGTTGTGTAATAGAAAAGTTTATTGTAACTATAAAATGCACTTATTAATATGGCATTGATGTTACTTGAAGCGGTTGATAACGTCATATCAATTATTACCAATTATATTTTCTTGAGTTCGCTAAATGTAAAAGGCCATTGTTTTAAATATTTATAAACAATAATATTTTTTTATCTAAAGCAACTGTAAGCAAAATAAAAATTAATTCCATACATATTAGGCTTGTCAGTATGACATTTAATCAATTTTTTTATATATTTTGTAGATAGGAGTTCTATATAAATTATGTCACGAATCTACTACCAACCCTGCTACTCACCCACAATCTGAATTTCTAGCAGATTCAATAAATTATTTAACATTAAGTGCATTGATATATGACAATGAGCCGAATACCGGAGCTTTTCACGCAACACATACACCTCAACACCTTGGAACGCGTCTCGAAAATACGATATCTACTTATCTAGGCACAGTGATTGATGAAATGGATAACCATAGCATCGAAATCCGCTGCAGAATGGAACAAGCGCCTTTTCAAAACTAAAAAAAGTACTTTGTGACAAGCGCCTAAATTTACAGTTTAGAACTCACATTGCGCGATGTTACGTCTTCTCTGTGCTGCTCTACGGTGTAGAATCATGGACGCAGCCAGAGACTAAGTCCAAAAAACTAGAAGCGTTTGAGATCTGGGTTTATCGACGTATGCTTAGTAGGTATATCTTGGACAGACAGAATGCAGAAGAACAAAGAAGTGCTTATGACGGTTAAGAAAAGGAAACTTGAGTATTTCTGACACGTTTTACATAACTCTAAAAAATACGAGCTCCTTCAACTAATCATAGAAGACAAAGTTGCAGGTAGAAGGAGACCTACCTGTTGAAAAACGGTTGAAAAACACCGTTGAAAAACTGAAGACAATGGTTTGGTCAATGCACCAAGTCATTGTTTAGAAGCGCGGCATCCAAATTCAAACTAACCATAATGATCGCCAACCTTCGCAAGGAGATGGCACTATAAGAAGTAGAAGCAATGATATAGAAAACATTAATCTCTTTATCAAATAGGTTTAGGGAGGTGCAAGAGACAATAGCCGAAAAACAAAGTATTGTGTCAATAATCCTTATAATTAACCTCTATTTATTTGGCCACTGACCTGACGTTATCATTGTATCGAGCTATTTATCGGTTATTTAGGTTAATACTTCATATTATTGTGACTAGACCCATAGTCATCGTGAGGGCGAACTAAATATTAATGAAGTTGCCACAAATTTGGGAATGCAAGTTTTTTTGATCAACAAAAAACGTCGCGTTGCTATTGCGACTGCTGTTTTGATTGTAGAAGCTCTTTTTTATTTTATTATCCAATTATATAATTTAATTACGCTTTTAACCCTTGCTCGTACGGTGAAGGAAAACATCGTGAGGAAACCGGCATGCCTTAAAAAGTCGACGGTGTGTGTCAGGCACTTCAGATCACCTACTTGCCTATTAGAAGTGATCATGGAACAGAAACAGAAATCTGAGGCCTACCTAAAAGGTTCTAGCGCCATTGGTATCTATATTACTTATATAATTCAATATATTAAAATTAATTCAGGTGAAAAGTGGCATCCTTTCGACACTATTTAATTGTGTTGATAGTACTATTCCAAATAATATAAAACATATACATCAAACCATAAAGACATAAGATAACCTAATCCGGTTTTATTTCACAAGATAACTGCCCCTTAACGACCATGCGTTCTCGCCATGGCACGATAGCGACAACCGCGTGGCGAGTGACTTTTGTGTTCATGAGTTTATCAAGAGTTTGCGCTGATAATATTGACGTAAATACTATTGGCCGCAACGAGGGCGTGCCGATGCTGCCTCTATGACTATATAATCATCTTACAAATAAGGTATCGTAGCATTCCGTTCCTGCATCTTGCACGTGACTTAACCGGCAGCTTAATTATAACTTTAGTTTCCTAGTAGTTAATGTAAGTATTAATATAGATAATGCATAATTATCTTGGCAATCAATTAGTAGATTAGTATTTGAAATTGTTTTCTTTTCTTTATCTTAAGGGGATTTGCTAATGTGTTGTCTATAGCTAATTGACGGCACATTATACATTACTTATGTAGGTGACTTTATTTGGTTTCTGAATTTGGTTCTGTGAGGTGTATTTAATATTTCAGATAATGGCCTATTTGCAATCGAAACCAAAGTCTGAAACAATTGAGCTTCGAGAAAAATATATTGGGTAAGGAATTTATTAATATGTTATTTTTAAACAAACTTAAGAACTTGCTAACGTAATAATTTTATTACTATTGCATTCTTTCGATAAAGTTCGAACGGTTCAATTTTAGAATAGTACATACTTTGGGCGGGGTTTAAAAACAGTAAATTTCCTCCACAGCGGCGCCTGCCAGTTGTTTTTCCGTTCGACGCCGTTGAAAATTGTCAGAGGGATTGCCCAGTTCATGTATGATGAAACGGGCGAGAGGTACCTCGACTGCATCAATAATGTCGCACACGGTTAGTGCATTAGTGTACTCATGTATCTAAGATATTTGGTTACCGCTTACCGCAAAACGAGCACAACGTATGTTCACGTATATATACATTGGTTCGATTTCCGGATAAATGTCAAGAAATAATTATTGTTTTATTAATATGAAAATCCTAAGGCTTTAAATTGAGCAGGAGAGGTATATGAAATTATGAAGTTATTTTATAATCGATTCTGACATTTCCTTTTTTATTTATTTTTTCTGATTCAATATATACTTAGGTATGTACGAAAAAGTTAAGAACAATAGGTTATATGAAGTAGATAAGTATATATACATATGTAGTTAATAATTGGCAAAACATACATTTAACGCGTGATCCACAAATTGACGTAGCAGTGTTTATCATTCCTATGCATGAAGTGACAATAAACTATAATTAGCTTCTATTTTTATTAGTGAACTCATGATTTTCAAGAAGGAAACACTTCAGTATCCAGGAACGAAACTTGAATCCGCATACATAAATGATTAAAATACCGTTTAAAAATGTAACTGCATTATTAAATAGTACAAATATTATAACTACCGTCATGTTTAATAGGAGAATTCTGATAAGATTGAGCTTAAGCTGTCGCTTCTGTTTTCAACAGTGCAGAAAATACGGAGATAACTGTTTAAAAAGAGTTGTTCATATTAAAATTGTACTTTACTTATTACAGCTTCTTATTTTCATGGCTTACTTCTATAATAATAACATTTCTTACAGTGGGACACTGTCATCCTCACGTCGTTGAAGCCGGAAGAAATCAAATGTCACTGATTTCCACAAACAATAGATATCTTCATGATGACATTGTGATTTTGGCCGAGAGACTTGTAAAGACTATGCCCGGTTCACTATCTGTTTGTTTCTTCGTCAACTCGGGATCTGAAGCCAACGATTTAGCCTTACGCCTGGCCAGAGTCCACACTAAGAAGAAAGATGTTATTACACTTGACCAGTAAGCATTTTCATTATACAGTGCTTTTATGAATTATATTTAAAGTGTGACTGGGATGAATGAATTTATTAGTAAATTATTTATTTAATTCACCAAAGCAGTCTTGAAGTATTGTTGTTTAAACATTTAAAGTCTTCATAATATCATGTACATAACTTGTGTGCTGCAATATTTATGATAGTCGTTGATATAATGGTCGATGTTTTTATTATAAAAACTTCTTTATAATTGTTTTAATTGCACAGTTTTCAAACGAGCCAATTGTGAAAGAGTGAGTGATCGATGTTAGGTCCCTATGTAGGGTGCTACTAGCGCCATTTTGTTCCAGCGCGTATCATGGACACCTTACTTCCATGATTGATGTGTCACCTTACAAACTGAACCTACCAGGAGGGCCCGAGAAGCCAGAGTGGGTTCATGTGGTGAGTTGCCATGGCAACCGTCTAACTTAATTAAATATGTACTTTTATTTTATGAGTTTAATCCAAAAGCATACTCAAATTCTTGTTTAGCACTTATGACGTATATCGTTATGTATTGGGGACGCGATATGAGAAAAATCTCGAGTTATGACTACGTTTATGGTTCATGTTTTTCCCTTATTCGCTAATATATGAGGAGTTATGAAGTAACATTTGGTCCTTTATGGCGTTAATACTTTGATTACATCAGAATATTACTATCAGCATAAACACCCAATTTCTTACCCGTTAATAAATATAGAGTGTAAAGACGATTTTCTTTAATACAGGCCCCAGTCCCCGACGTATATAGAGGAAAATACACATATCCGAACGACTCTCAGTCCGAAGAAGAGTTAGGGAAATTGTATGCGGATGAAGTAGGAAAAATCTGCAAACTCGCAACTGATAAGAATGGTGGTGTTTGCGCTTTTATCGCCGAGAGCCTGCAAAGCTGTGGAGGACAAATATTTCCTCCCGATGGCTATTTAAAACGCGCCTTCGAGTAAGTAAACACATACACGTACTTTATCGAAGTACTGGAGTAAATTTTGACTAGCCCGTACTTTTTTACTTGTATATATTAAATATACATACATTAGGACCATTCCAAGAGGAAATATATAATCATTCAATCGTAACTTACCGCTTATGCCTTAGTTTATTTATAATATGACTTCATGTTATACCGAATTTAATGGCTAATTAAAATGACTTGAAACACGCTATCATACTAAATATAATGCTTTGTAATTTTTTGAACTGTATTTTGTGAAACAAATGAAAAATAGGTAAATAAATAAACAAACTGTTGCTTTTACACCTAGGTATGTACGTGAAGCAGGTGGCGTTTGCATCGCTGATGAAGTGCAGGTCGGATTCGGTCGCGTGGGAACTCACATGTGGGCATTCGAGACCCAAGACGTGATTCCTGATATAGTGACTATGGGTAAACCTATGGGTAATGGACACCCAGTCGCTGCAGTTATTACAACACCTGAGATCGCTAGGAGTTTCGCTGATACCGGAGTCGAATATTTTAATACGGTACATATACAATTTATTAATAGATTTTACTGGCAGTTCTTTTGGATCTATTCTGAATTAAATTCCCGTCACCGACTTTAAATCTTGTCCTATCCTAATATTACTTATTTTAGTGTAAGCTTTTATATTAAAGGTAATGTTTAATTATCGTAACTAAATATAACCCCTTTCGTGTGTTATCATATAAAAACATAAAGATTAAAAATTATCAATAAAAAAAGCGATAGTTTATTGTACGTCAATACATTGTAAATATTTTGATTTAAGTACTTACAATGCGAAATAAAAATCTGTAATTTTATTTGTCTAGTGATCTACACTATTACAAATACAATTACTAAAAATTTAAACATTAAAAAAACTATACAAATTTAGTTTTGTTTCTATAATGCTTGGATTCTCTTATTTCATTTAGATCGTAGGAAACGTAAAGGGTTATCTCATGACACGAACTTATTAGATTGTAGATAAAGTCACTTTTACCTTGGTTACAATTAGATAATTTAAAGATATTAAGAAACCGGTGAATGCAAATTATTTTCGCCAGATCATACTCTAAAGGTGACCATGATACCTATTTCTTATATATAGTGTTATTTATTATCATTAGATATTATGAATGAATACTATATTAATGAATCTATACAAATATTGGTTAGTTAACTTTTATTAATATGAGTATCAGTTGTATTAGCATAATTTGTAAAAAATTAAGTTAGTATTTTTAGCGGTCTAGTATTGTATGGCTTCTTTTAGGGTAAATGCCTCCTCCATATTTTTCATTTCTCTTTCATTTTTTTGTCTGATGTTTCTCAATGAATTGTTCTTCCTTTTAAATACGTAATGGAGGGTGTAATATATACAATATATAGCGTTATTGATCCCTTATTGTTGATCAAACGAAGCTTACGTTGATTATCCTAAAGTCAATGAATTAATCTTCAAACCATTTTCCTTTAAGTATGGCGGTAATCCAGTCTCCTGTGCAATTGCAAACGCAGTATTAGATGTGATAGAAGAAGAGAACTTATTGGAACGAGCAAGACGTGTCGGTGACCATCTTTTGGCCAGATGCGAAGCTTTGATGCATAAGCACCTCTTAGTCGGAGATGTGCGAGGAAGGGGACTATTCGTCGGAGTAGAACTTGTCACGGACAGGGATGCAAGAACACCAGCGACGGCTGAAGCAAAACATGTTGTTAATAGGTAGTTTGAATGTTATTTAGTACAGAGTTGATATTTTCATATCAAGTTAAATTCTACTTAAAATTAGTGTTCAATGTTTTGCACCGTTTGAGCGTCCTACACTTAAACTTGTAGTCCTAATCTAGGTAAATAATTTATTTAAGTTATATGTTAAATTGTACTATATTATGTCCTCACATACGTGGTCAACGTGACAGAAGTTATAAGAATAATAATTGATTCGATTGATGTCTTGTTTTATAAACGAAACGATAATGCACGCATAGATTATATAGATTAGAGACTGCGACTCGAACGATTTCCTTTTTAAAGAATGCGCGAAGAGAAGATACTTATAAGCAGAGATGGACCTGACGCAAACGTATTGAAGTTTAAACCGCCCATGGTGTTTTCCACTCAAGATGCAGACAGATTAGTTGACACACTCGACAGGGTGCTGTCAGAACTGGATGACCAATGGAGAACACCTATCACCAATATTAAACTTGAGGTAAGATTTTGTAATAATTATATTATTTATTTACAGATATAAGTATATAAGGTTATAATATACAAAAGTCATTCGCTGCCTTAATCTGTGTACCGTCTTGGACAAAAGCCTCTTTCAAATCGTGTAATATGAGAGTAAGACGACTTTAAATAAAATCACATTTTAAATTATAAACCAAGATTTTATATACAGGAAACATTATATTGAAGGTTCAGTTCAAACTTAGCAAGTTAATTAGTTTGATAAACTTGACGCCTGATAAAATAAATGCACACACAATTGTTAGTAAAACATTGCTCTTCATAATAATTAGGACCTGATTGATATACGTTTAAAAAAAATTATGATCGTTGTACTAAAATCTGTACGACCCTTTAAAGGCAATCAAGTTGACATCGGCAAATTAATACAAACTATATTTTGATTTATATCTTTATAGTAGTCGCATTATCTTACCGTTGCCCAAATAAATAGGTACCTCTTAGTGGCACCTATCTCTCTAAGACAGTGGTAGTGGATAGTTAGCATGGTTTCAGGTGCAAAAAGCACTTCTAGCATTTATTTATATCTCTGAACGAGCGAAAAACTATTTTTAATATTCATTAGTCACAATGCCTGTTGTAACATCGATGCGACCTACCTGCACTTATGTAAAAATATTGTACATATTGTTAGGAACTAATATTTCTATTTTATATAGCCTATTTTCAAATAATTTCATAACACGATGTACATAACTAAAATACTCTGAAATTTCTCACTAATTGAATGTAATTCTTTGAGAAATAAAGTATATTTGAACCGGAAGTTAATAATTAATTAATTTGCAGGTCTTAGTCACACCCATCAATGATCAGGTAGAGTCCAGTGATACGTCAATGAAGAGTAGTTTTAAGCAAAGTGTGAAAGCTATGTAAATTTGAAATCTCATGGTTAAGTTAAGTTGTAAATATATATAAGACACGCCATGTACTTAAATGTATCATGTTTTGCCTATTAATTTTAACTTTAGATGTAATCATACTATAAAAAAGTTATTGAATAAACTGTACAAATGATTTTTTTTTATTTAACCGTAATAACGACCAAGTATTGACAAAACTATGTATAATTTATATGTTTTGTGAAATACAACTTAAGCTAAAGTTGTTAAAAGATACGAATCAATGTAACAACTAATGTTGCTAATTCGAAAATTATCTAGCAGGTCCCTGGTACCAGTATACCAGAGTACGCTGGTGTTGTGTATTGTTGTATGCAAATTAACAAATAAAACGAATTTAAAAAAAAAGTTACCTAAATTCAACATTTTTATCTACATGGCCCTTCCGGAAATTAAAAAAAAACTGAAGCTATTTTGATAAAACATGGACTGTTATCTCCCTTCTAATTGGATACAACTTAAGTTTCCATAAATTAGTGGAGAACATACACACACTGGCGATATATAGAATATATGCTTGGTGGCCTCAATCGTAATTAATACATTTTATTTGCTATTAAAGTGGAAAAACAATCAAATTATTTATAATCTAATCAAATAATATGCAATTGCAACAATATCACATACATACAGGCCAAACTGATAAACAGAAACAACATAAGTTTCATATCTAAATAACTATACCTTCAAAGTCTACTTAGTAATAATATACCAGTGTCATTCAGGCTATTGTGTTTTGTAAGAGGCCAAAGTTGCGCAGCCGGCTTTAGCACGTGCGCAAATTTGCCTGATAGCCGTTACATCAATCTTGAACATCTTCCCTTTATAGAATCCTAATCTTCAGTTCGTGCATCGAATTATATCTCTTATTTTAATAGACGTAGGGTCGACAAATCGTTAGCAGGTTTTTGTAAAAGGCTTTTGTAACTCCTGTAGACAATGAGAGTATTCTATGTCAGGACAATATGACGTAACGATTAAACGTCTTAAGAATGGTTATGGCAAAAACGTTTGTATGCGTTTTTTGCTTCAGAGATCGTTAATAATTTTATACGGATAATACGGATTTATAGTTATGGTAAAAAATGTTGTATTAGTTATACATCAGTCGTCATGCAATAAATAATGAATTTGTAAACGCTTTCCGAACGGCATGTTCCCTTGGCGTTGTGTAGAGATGTGGGGTATCTCTGCATCTTCTTCCGCATTTACCATGGAGAGTGTTCAGAGGCAGAATACGAAATTCCACCCGTATCACCTCGACGTCCGTCATTCCACAACTGAGCGTGTTAGAGCGAAACCAACTGCCCACTGAAATATTTCCGAACCAATTCGACTTAGGGTCCTTCAAGAAAATATCGTACCGAGTCATAAAAGGCCGGCAACGCACACGCGGTCTCTCTGGCATTGAGTATCCATTGGCGGCGGTATCACTTAACATTAGATAAGCCATCTGTCCGTTTGCCCCCTGTACTATAAAAAACAAATCACTAACGTAAAATAAGTCCTCTTCAAAGATTATAAAAACAGCTATAAATTTGTCGTAGATAGGTCGCAAACTTATTTGACTGATGCTATTTTAGCAAACGCATAGTACCTCTAGAGGTATTAAAGACGCATCAAACATTAACCCAACGTCATGTTATTTCTTCTTCGATTGTATAATTCGGCGTCACTCTTACATAAAACAGTAGCATTTATCTATATAAACAAATTCGTGGGAATCATAATAATTCACATCTATTCGCATTCAATTCACACTTGATAGGGGTCATCTATTAATGGGAAGTGTCGACGCGTGCCACCCGCACCGCCCGCATCGTATGTTTGACATCTAGTGGCTCGTGCGGTCGCGATCCTGAGGAAATCGATCTTATACCACAACACACCTAATAATAAATTGGGAAACCTTCGATTTTTATCATGGGGTGATTAGCCCATAGTGATTATTCAGATAGGTTAAGGGTGAGCAGTGTTGGTCTAGTGGCTTCAGCGTGCGACTCTCATACCTGAGATCGTAGGTTCGATCCCCGGCTGTGCACCAATGGACTTTCTTTCTATGTGCGTATTTAACATTTGCTCGAATGGTGAAAGAAAACCATCGTTAGGAAACCGACATGTCTTAGACCCAAAAAGTTGTGCGTCTGTCAGGCACTGGAGGCTGATCACCTACTTGCCTATTAGATTTAAAAATGATCATGAAACAGATCCAGAAATCTGAGGCCAAGACCTAAAGAGGTTGTAGCGCCACTGATTTATTATTTTTAAGGGTGACAAAAGTGTCATTGTGTTGGCATATGGGAGTCATATTTAGCGTTAAGATTCGACTGTGTAGCTCATAAGACGTTTTCAATGTATTTTTTCATCGTACAAGGAAGTGTTATCACCTCACATAAAATAAAAATTTGGTATGTTAACAAACATTTTTCGTACACTGCAGTAGAGCATTACATGCGTCCTTTAGGCTAACGGTACCAATGCAATATTAGCTTAATAAATTGTATTGTTAGGTTTCGATATTTAAGTCGTTGAACGGATATACTTTTGCTTATTATTTAACTAGAATAAGTCATAAATTTAAGATAATATTTCTATTCCCACAGATAATTACAAAATACAACCCAATTATTAAAAATATGTATTTAAATCTAAACGTATATTAAAAAGGTAAGGACGATTTGACTGATAGATATTAAATAAAGTATCATTAACATTTCTTAGACCAACCTCAATATTGTTAATCTAGTCAAAAGCTAAAATTCAATTTCTTCTAAAACATTTCTTATAGCAAAGGATCGGATCGTAGATTTGAAGTAAAAAAAGGATGACTTTCAATTCAATTCCAATCTCATTATTCCTGTATTTTTATGGAAATCTTATCTCGAGAATTTTTAGAGGCTATTATAATAAATTATACTAAATATTCAGTAAAGAAGAAATTAATGTTATACCTATTTGTTTTCGCAGGTTTTTTGTTAAACTCAAAGTGTAATCCTAACTTATTTCGGTATATTAGCTTAGCAAATATACACATATAAATCTAATTAACAAATAAGTATTAGATAATTGCTAATGATTCAACTAATTATAATAAACGCTACTAATTTACCAATACTTTAACTATTTTAATTTCAATGATTACTTTCTTATTCCGTGATATTTAACATTATCGGTAACGAAAGACAAGTAACACGATTAATTTTATCAGACCAGATTCTTCCTTATATTGGTAAATCACATTATAAAGTAATTAGGTTCACAATTATTCATATATTCTCTTTTTAACGATGAAACTTTCTACGAAAGGCATTACCGCACTGGAATCAAGCAATTCCGCTGTCTGGCGCCGGCAGATGCTTAATAAAGGCAAATTGCAAGCTCACCTTACGCCCTGCCATTTCCCACGGTAGGTACATCCTCGCGGTACCGTTGTAAAAGTCCACATTCATAATAAAATATACAAACGGGCAACCGACTTATGAAAAAGCTTTGTCGCCAAGCATTCTCGCTTTAATTGCTGTTTGCGAAAATGAGATAAGAATTGAAATTATAGCTTTTATAATCTTTTGCGGCGTAGTACTTTTGTTGGCGTTATATTTGAAATTAAATTCCTTATCAAGAACGTTATTTATTTTCATTATTAGAGGACATAATAAATATTACTAACTTTACCTTAAATAATGCTTATTAAAAGTGGATTTTAAAACAATTATTTTAAATTACATATACGCAAGACATCACTTTACCATTTAAAAACAGCTCGAGATCAACAAGATCGATGATGATATATTTTAATGATATTTAAAACGCAGGGGTCGTTTCGTTCACAATTACGACAACGACCTAAAGACGGCTTGAAGCGTTATTAAAGAGTTAATGACAACTTAGCGTTAATTAATGACGTCTTTAAAAAGTTTTAAGGTTGTAATTTTCCGAGGCTGGATAATAAATTCTAGCTATTTCTCAAAATGGAGTACGTAGTAGGTACACTGCTCTCATATTAGGCAGTTTTCTAGTACCGTGATTTTCCTATCTTCTTATCCTTACATAAATTGTTAGATTTGCAAAGACGCGGAGAGACTGTAGGCGTAACCCCCTAATGGAAATATATCAGAAAATAATATATTTCAATATGCAATAAAATCGGAAAACGTATGACCCAGTATTCGCTGGATTTTCGCAAGCACACCTGAACAAGATTGTATCCGGGCTATAAAAAACCTACGTTCAATCGTGTCCTCAAAGAAGGTTTGTAAAGGACCCTCACATTCCGCAGTGTCTATAACAGATGTGAGCGGGAACAAGATTTTCGTCTGGATTTACATAAACAGTTTCCCACCGAATCCCTCGAGGGGTAAAAACGTAATGACGACTCGGCATTATTCTTGGTTAAGTTCCTTGTCATTGCCGTGAATGGTGCTTACCGTCACTTGATATCACTTCTCAAACGGTATTAAAATACAATTTATTTCACAAAATGATTGCACTTATATGTATTCAAACTCACGACTTATTTATTTTTAATTTTTTCAATTAATTATTACAATAAATATCAAGAATTACATGAGACATCGCTATATAGTCCAACGCTACCGAAAATAATAAACTCCTGTTTCATTAAATATAGGTAATACAATATCGTAATTGTGAAGGATTATTGAAATAAATTTTCAATTACCTGCCTATAATTCTGATATTCTTACAGCCAAAATAAATAAAATAAACATTGCCATTGTATAACAGTTACTTGTAGCTAATAATATTTGTTAATAACCTTGATTTTGTGATAAAAAAATTATTTTAATATTCATTTTTATTTTTTATACTCAATAACTTATTTTAATAGCGGTTGCGTGGCAGAAAGGGTGGCTCGGTGGTATTTAAAAATGTAGAGAGGTCATTTGTTTTAACGCAACACCGAACGCAATCCATTCATATTACACAGAAATAAACCGTAATTTATGAAAACGAAGT